CACTCCTAGACCAGGGGAAGATTGATGACAAGGACCTTCCCCCAGAGCCAAGAGAGAATGAAAGCCTTCCACTGGAGCTGGTGCCCTGAATTCAGACTTCTAGCCTCCTAAACTGTGAAAGAATAAATTTCTCTTTGTTAAAGCCACACACTTGTGGTATTTCTGTTATAGCAATACTAGATAACTAAGACAAAGTGTCAGCAAGTTAGGTTACTTCCTGAGGCTCTGAGGGAGAATCTGTTCCATGTCTCTCTCCTTGCTTTTGGTGGTTGCTGCCAATCCCTGATGTTCCTTGGCTTAAAGAAGTATCACTCCAATCTCTGCCTCCATCATCACATGGCCATCTTGTTTCTGTGTCTGTCTCTGTGTCTCTTCTCTTCTTATAAGACAAGTCATTGGAGTAGGGTCCACTAATCCAGTATGACTGCATATTATTGTAACTAATTACATCTGCAAAGACCTTGTTTCCAAATAAGGTCTCATTCCCAGGTTCCGGGTGGACATGAATTTTTGAAGGACACTATTCAACTCACGACAGAGACCAACTTCTAAATACATTGGGCACTGATAGAGGAATATAGTAAATGCTCTGGAAACACAGGGGAGGGAGCACCTAATGACAACGTCAAGGTAATCAGCTTTATGTAGCTTCCCCAGGAATAAAAACGATGTTTGTATCAACCAGCCAAACTAAAGTGCGAAGAATTTGGTCACAATGTATATCTTTACATCATACTTCTTAACATAGAGTTCAAGACCCCCCAGTGGTTCTATAAATGGGCTTGATTGTCTGCTGAGTCTTGCTTCATTCTCTCTGAGGGCAGGCGATGAGTTTACCTATCTTGTGACATGTGAGATGTGAAATTGTAGGTAGAATTTCATACATTTGCATTTTTATAGAAAAAAGATATACAACTTTATCATATTCTCAGTGGTGTCTATGACCCATAAAATGTTAAAGCAACTGATCTACGTATTTATGTATAACTCATTAATTTCATAAGTATAGTTGAGGAGATAGAGATACGGGCATAGTCCCTATCTTCAAGCTATCAGGGGAGAACAAAAACAGGAATGGCAGAGATGCTCAGATGCTCAGGTATTCTCCCTTCCCATAGTGTAGTACTGTTGCTAGGAAGCAGCTGTCTAGCCAGGGACAATGATTCCCCTCCCTCCTTACATCAACGTGTAGCCACATGATAAGCTCTTTACAACAGAATGTGAATAATAGAATGTATGTCACTTTCAAGCTAACCAGATTAAGAAATGGGTCTACTTTCTCCACCCTCTTTTTCTCTTCTGTGATGACTTTGAAGCCATGTGTTGAAGATGGCAGAGCCACAAGATGGAAGGAGCTCAGCTCCCTGAATCCCCAAGTAGAAGGCTGCTCATTGAACAACTGTACTGGACTGTTCTTAAAGCAAAAATAATTTTGTACTGTAACAGCCATTAAATTTTTTGTGTTTATATGGTATAAAAACTAAGATTAATTTACCAGATACAAAAAGCAAGTTCAACAGAATGTGGAAAGTGTTACAATACTGTTAGATGCTATGGGATCATAGAAGATGATGGTTGGGGGTGATTAAGAAAGGCATCCACAATGGGATAACATGTAAACAATACCTCAGTGATGAGCAGAAAGCAACGTGAGGAATGCAGAGCAGGTTATAGGGGCTTGGCAGAAAGTGGGTGACAGAAAGTGAGCATTTCAAGCAGAGGGAACATGCAAACACACACAAAGTCCTGGGTGTGAGAGCGAGTGAGGACTGGCTGAAAGTGGTTCAATATGGCTGGAGAAGAGAATGTGAGAGGGGTGGCCATAGGAGACATCTGCAAAATCTAGATCTGGAAAGGAAGGTGTTTAGATTTGATTCACAGAGTGAGATAAATGAGTTATAAGTAGGAGATGACATAATCAGATTTGGATTTTTGAAATATAACCTGCCTGCTGTGTGAACAATGGTGGGAGCAAGATTGGAGGCAGGCAGGGTGACCAATGAGAAGGCAATATTCTAATCCTGGTGAGAAGTGACAGTGGCCCAAATGAAGGAAGAGGCAATGAGAACAGAGAGAAGTGGTTGGATTTGAAAGATGTTAAAGTGACAGGAATTGATGACTGGACATAGGAGAAAATGGATATAAAAGCTAGAGTCAGAGATAAATATTGGTATAGGGGTATAAACACAAAAATACACAGAGTCATTATACCAGAAAGAATTGGTCGACGTTCAACCACTTCAAGAGGCAGAATATGATCAGGAACCAACGGTACTGAAGGAGAAGTCCAAGCTGCACTGAAGGCACTGGCGAAAAACAAGGCTCCAGGAATTGATGGAATATCAACTGAGATGTTTTCAACAAATGGATGCAGCACTGGAAGCGCTCACTTGTCTATGCCAAGAAATTGGGAAGACAGCTACCTTGCCAACCGACTGGAAGAAATCCATATTTATGCCTATTCCCAAGAAAGGTGATCCAACTGAATGTAGAAATTATCGAACAATATCATTAATATCACACACAAGTAAAATTTTGCTGAAGATCACTCAAAAGCAGCTGCAGCAGCATGTCGACAGGGAACTGCCAGAAATTCAGGTCGGATTCAGAAGAGGACGTGGAACCAGGGATATCATTGCTGATGTCAGATGGATCCTGGCTGAAAGCAGAGAATACCAGAAAGATGTTTACCTGTGCTTTATTGACTATGCAAAGGAATTCAATTGTGTGCATCATAACAAATTATGGATACCATTGTGAAGAATGGGAATTCCAGAACACTTAATAGTGCTCATGAGGAACCTATAAACAGATCAAGAGGCAGTTGTTTAGATACAACAAGGGGATATTGCATGGCTTAAAGTCAGGAAAGGTGTGTGTCAGGGTTGCATCCTTTCACCATACCTATTCAACCTGTATGCTGAGCAAATAATCCGAGAAGGGGGCATCAGGATTGGAGGAAGACTCATTAACAACCTGCAATATACAGATGATACAACCTTGCTTGCTGAAAGTGAAGAGGACTTGAAGCACTTACTAGTGAAGTTCAAAGACCACAGCCTTCAGTATGGATTACACCTCAACATAAAGAAAACAAAAATCCCCACAACTGGACCAATAAGCAACATCATGATAAATGGAGAAAAGATTGAGGTTGTCAAGGATTTCATTTTACTTGGATCCACAATCAACATTCATGGAAGCAACAGTCAGGAAATCAAAGACGCATTGCATTGGGCAAATCTACTGCAAAAGACCTCTTTAAAGTGTTGAAAAACAAAAGTGTCACCTTGAAGACTAAGGTGGGCCTGACTCAAGCCATGATATTTTCAATTGCCTCATATGCATGCGAAAGCTGAACAATGAATAAGGAAGACCGAAGAAGAATTGATGCCTTTGAATTGTGATATTCGCAAAGAATATTGAATATACCATGGACTGCCAAAAGAACGAACAAATCTGTCTTGGAAGAAGTACAAACAGGATGCTCCTTAGAAGAAAGGATGGTGAGACTACGTCTTACATACTTTGGACATGTTGTCAGGAGGAATCAGTCCCTGGAGAAGGACATCATACTTGGTAAAGTAGAGGGTAAGCAAAAAAGAAGAAGACCCTCAATGAGATGGATTGAAACAGTGGCTGCAACAATGGGCTCAAGCATAACAATGATTGTGAGGATGGCACAGGACCAGGCAGTGTTTCCTTCTGTGGTGTATAGGGTCACTATGAGTCAGAACCTTCCTGACGGCACCTAACAACAACAACAGGGGTATAAAGAGCAGAGGAGTGGACTATGTGATGATGGCCCCAATCTTGACTTTGCTATTAGGCTGATGCGTTTTTAAAAAATCTCTCTAGAATTAGTTGTACCTGTAAAATGGGGATGATAACAACTACTTTGCAAAGCTTCTGTCAGGATTAAATGAAATCATGCATGTGGAAGCATCATGTAAACTCTGTAGACTCTCACCTACAGATATTCTCTACATTACCATTGCCCAAGTGTCTCCAGCCTTAGTAGAGACTCTTTAGAGGTGAAGTTTCCTAGTTCCACATGAAAAAGGATCCCTTTCTACTCTGGTGGTCTAACCTCACATAAAGTGTGGGTGATGTCTTCCCCAGTGGGCTCACCATTTCCCTCAAGGCGAGTTGGTCACTTAGTTTTCCTTAACTAGACTACATCACATGCTTGGATGTCTCTGAAGTCACCTTTTTCTTCAGGCACAGCCCCGAAGCCTTGCATTTTTCGTTTCCTCAAACGACTTCTGTCTCAGTCTTTTGGCTACTGAAAGTAGTATGAAGTTCTGCATGATGGTGGCCAGCATTCCAAAATTTCCTCATTTCTTCTAAAAGTGCTCAGGCTCGTAGATAGGTGGACTGTTCAGAATGACCCTTCCTTTACCAAATTAAGTGGGTAGGAGGCCTTTTAGTGAGCACAGGGTGGGAACACACTGTCCATTGCCACTGAGTCAGTCAATTCTGACTCATGGCAGCACCATGTGTGTTACAGAGTAGAACTGGTCCATAGGACTTTCTTGGCCATAATCTTTACTGAAGCAGATCATCAGGACTTTCTTTCCTCAGCATTGCTGGGTGAGTTTGAACTGCCAACCTTTAGGTTAGTAGTACAGAGCAAACCATTTGTACCACTCAGGGATCTTAGAAACACACTAGGCTCTCAATCAACTGTTGCCATGTGGCTCCCACTCTCATAAAACACATCGATCATGTGGTTGTTCTCTTGTTTCCTGACAGCAGCTGGACTCTCTCTGCTATTTTACACTTAGTGATCAAGGCACTGACTTCATTTTTAAAAACCAGAACCACCTCTACATTTAACTAATACAACTTAGATAGTTAGGTCTAATCTGCATAAACACTTGCCATTACTACATATCTAAACCTTGGAGATAATTCAGAAAACTTTTATCTTCAACCAGATTGACAAAGCATTTTTTTGGACCAAAAGAAACCTGATTCAAGAAATTACTTATTCTTACCCGTACTTTCTGAGGCTTGGCCAGCCAATTTGGCAGGTGGAAAGTAACTGGAGTTTATAGTAGAACGAATCTTTGATTGAAGTACCTGGGTCAAAGATAAAAAAGAGCAGTTCATACAGCTCGGCAGCTGGTATTATAAACTCTTGGCATAAAACAACAATTTGCAACAAGTATAGATGTATCATTAGTGCTTTTGGAACAATAAGCCTCTCATGTGATTGCACTATTTTAAATGTTTGATGGAGTGTATTGTGATACCTAATTTAGTTGTTCTCAAATGGCAGCACGGATGATGTTCCTCATCTTTGTTTGCAGTTCATCAAACGTCTGCCATTCTCCTGTGATGAGAAATTATTCTGGAAGGAAAAGGGAAATCACAGGGTGAAATGCAGTGCAGATTACCAAAGAACATTGTGGACACATTCAGCATGGCAGGTCCCAGGTAGATGACACTGGAGACTGGGCTGGTCATTGCTCTCAGAGGGATGTCTGCCTGGCTCTGCCCCAGAAACCAGCAGTAAAATATCCTGCATATAATAGACACTATAGTGGACTGTGGTTCTGCCTGCTCAGCTATTCCCATCTCCCTTCTTCTGGTAACAGCACCTCCTTTCCTTTGGGAAACTCTTCCACCATTTTATGTGGTATTTGCGTGGTTGTCAATCATATCAGCCCCCCTCTCTCCCAACACAGCTGGTGAGGGCATGGAAACCAGGTCTGGCCAGTGTGAGTAGACTTTTTCTTCTGAGAATGATGATTGGCTCAGGAACAGGCATGTGACCAAAGTCAAGCCAATCAGATTCCTTCCTCAGACTTTTCCGAATTAGTTGGAGAGAAAACTTGTTCTTGTTTTAGATCACAAGTTATAAATACTTAGGCCAGGGCTATTAGTACCCATCTTTCCTGCCATGTGGAAGGAGCCTCCCTTCAGTAGGAGAGGACAAGGTGCATGTCCAAAAGAAAGCAGGACCAGATGTGGAGAGATGGGAGATCACTCAGATTCTAAGTCCCTGCAGCTAGGAATAAAACCCACACTTGGTCTCCCTAGGTGCATAAGCCAGTAAATTCCTGCTTCCATTTCTTGCTGCTGCTGGTTTGATTTGGGTTTCTGCCACTTGAAATGAAAAGTTCCGACTAATACAATTGTTGAAAGATGGATTTCAATGAAGGAATCAACTATCTTTCTCCATAACTCATTTTATCATGACCCATGTCTAGACAGTACTCATGCTAGATTTCTGATTACAGCATGTAGGAAATAATTACTTGTAGCACATTTTTTTATGAGAGTGATAAAAATCAAGTCAGAATGAGGTCAGCCAAGAGACCATTTTTTTCCATCCGTGGAGGTAAATTGTGTTTAAACGTTAGAGCTAGGATGCCACCATCCATCACTGCTATAACAGACCCAGTAGTGTAAGAGTACCATCTTTGTGAACAAAGGCAAAAAGAGTTGTCTGTAAAGGTGAAGGGTTGTTATGGAGAAAAATAATCCCTTTCTCAACACTTGCATCCGGCCCTCCATTTCCAATCACTTCTTTTTTGTGTTACAGCTTTATTGAGATATAATTCACATACCACACAATACATCCATCTAAAGGGTATAATTCAATGGTTTTTGGTATAGGCACAGAGTTGTGCAACCATCACCACGATACATCTTAGAACATTTTCAACAGCCCAGAAAGATGCCCTGTACACTTTAGCAGTTATCTACTGTAGAAGGCTCAATAATAGCCCCCAAAGATATCAAATCCTAATCCCTGGAAACTGTAAATATTACCTTACAAGGAAAAAGGGTCTTTACAGATGTGATTAAGGATTTTGAGATGAGGAAATTATCCTGTATTATCCATGTGGGCCCTAAATCCAATCACAAGGGAGACAGAGGGAGATTTCAGACACAGAGACATGGGTGGGGTTGGGGGGAGGGGGAGGGGGTGGGATTACTTTAAGGAAATGGCTTATGCAATTGTGAGGGCTAGTAAGTCCCAAATTCGTAGGTCAGGCAGCAGGCTGTAGACCTTTGCTGGCTCACGGGATTGTGGGGCTGGCAAATCCAAAATCGGTAGGTCAGGTGCTGGCCGAAGACTTCTGAAACTTTATGTCCCAAGATCCGGAGCTCAGGCAATGAGAAGAGTACAGGGTTGAGAGAAAGCAGGTAAGCCCCACCAACACATGGATTTATATATTCTGGAGGCAGACTATACCCCCAAGGAAACGCCCCTTTCAACTGATTGGTTTGTCATTTCAGATCACATCATGGAAGATAATTACATTACATGATGGAACAGCAACCAGTCCAGTGTCTGCCAAACCACCTAGAATCATAGCCTAACCAAGTTGACACATAAAATTAACCACTACACTCCTCTCCACCCCCAATTTCCATATAACCCCTTTAGACCTTGGCAACCATTAATTTACTTCCTCTATCTATGGATTTACTTATTCTGGATATTTCATATAAATGGAAGTACACAATATGTGGTCTTTTGTGACAAGCTTCTTTGATTTAGCATAATGTTTTCAAGGTTCATCCATGTTGCAGCATATATCTGTACTTCATTCCTTCTTATTGCTGAATAATATTCCATTGTATGGATATGGATATACCACATTGTATTTATCCATTCCCCAGTTGATGAACATTTGGATTGTTTCTACTTTTTCACTTCTATAAACATTCATGTACAAGTTCTTGTGTGGTCATATGCTTTCATTTCTCTTCAGTGTATACCTAGGTGTGGAATTGCTGGGTCATAGGATAACTCTATGTTTAAGATTTTGAGGAACTTCCAGACTGTTTTCCAAAGTGGTTGTACCATTTCATACTCCTGCCAGCATTGTATGAGGCTTCCAATTTCTCCATATCCTTGTCAACACTTGTTATTATCTGTTTTTGTTATTGTTGTTTGCTTTTTTATTATAGCCATCTGTCTTAGTTATCTAGTGCCGCTTTAACAGAAATACCATAAGTGATGGCTTTAACAAAGAGAAATTTATTCTGTCACATTTTAGAAGGCTAGAAGTCCAAATTCAGGATGCCAGCTCCAGGCGAAGGCTTTCTCTCTCTGTCAGCTGTGAGGAAAGGTCCTTTCCCTGGTCTAGGAGCTTCTCAGCACAGGGACCCTGGGCCCAAAGGACATGTTTTGCTCCTGGCTCTTCTTGCTTAGCAGTACTGAGGTCCCTCTCCTCTCTGCTTGCCTCTCTCTTTTATATCTCAAAAGACATTGACTCAAAACACAACCTAATCCTGTAGATTGTGCCCTGCTTCATTAACATAACTGCCTCATTAACATCATAGAAGTTAGGATTTACAACACATAGGTAATTACATCAGATCACAAAATGGAGGACAACCACACAATACTGCAAATCATGGCCTAGCCAAATTGACGCACATTTTAGGGGGAACACAATTCAATCCATAACACCATTTTAGCAGGCATGAAGTGGTATCTCATTGTAGTTATTTGCTTTTCCGTCATGGATAATGATGTTGAACATCTTTTCATGTGCTTATTGGTCATTTGTATTTATTCTTTGGAAAAATTTCTGATCAGACCATTTGCCCTTTTAAAAATTGAGTTCTATCACTTCTGTAACAGTGGCAACAGCACTTTGGTGAACAAAACTTGGCCTGAGGTTTTGAAGTGACTATCTATTGCTGGAAAATAAATTCTTTAGGATAAATGGAATCAGAAAGATAAACATGGAAGGGAATAGACCAGAGAGGAGACAAGTGTTTTAGTCCCGTTCTGGTGCAGGGAGTAAGATGAATGGATATGGGGTGGGTATCAATACCTCTGGCTTCTTTTCAAACTTCAGGACTCCGTTTATGCGTCATCTCCTCAGAGAGGCCTTCCTTGATTGCTTTCAGAGAGATTCCATGAATCATTTTTATGTTAGGCCGATTTGTTTGTTTCTCTCATAACACTTATATGATTTATACTTATTTGACTTATTTGTCTTCTTCCTTTTTATTTTTAACTCTATCTCCTAGTTCTTTGAGGACAAGGTTAATGTCTGTCTCACTACTGCTGTGTTCTCAGCACCTAGTGCAGTGCCTGGCATAGTGCAGGTAGCTGTTGCTGCTGTAGTTGAGTCGATTCCAACTCATAGCAACCCCATAGGACAGAGTAGAACTGCCCCATAGGGTTTCCAAGGAGCAGCTGATGAATCTGAACTGCCGACCTTTTGGTGAATAGCTGGGCTCTTTAACCACTATGCCACCAGGGCTCCATAGTGCAGATGCTCAGCAAATAATTCTTGGATGGAAAATAGCTCATGTTATAAGAAAGAATAGTTATATTAGTTTATGTTTCCCAAATATTGGGGAAAACTTTATGAGACAGCCCCTAGTAAAAGACTAACTTGCAAACTCACTTCTACTCCCTACCACCACCACCAATCTATAACCTTAACTTGGCAGAATCAACATCTATTACATGCTCACAATATTCAGTCTTGAAAACGATGAAGCATACTGGGCACTCTTTACGTGTTCTTCATTGTGAGGAAACTTTAGCTCATGATCAGCTGCTTCTGGACAAAATATATTTTATAAAAAGGCAATGTTACCTATATTACAGGGCTACTGCACTGAGCCCGCATGCAACAGAATTTGAATGGGCTCCACACTTTGTGTTTTGTGTTAGGGGAAAAAAAAAAAAAAAACTTCTGAGAAAGAGAATAACACATCTCACCCTGTTTAAGCACAAATTCTGAATTCTGCTCCATTACTAAAGCTCTATTTTCATGTCACTCCTACATTGGTTACGCTTGTGTAGAATACATGGTGGAACCATATTCAGGAATAGGAGATAAAAACCTCAGACTAGGACACAAGAAATTTTAAAATTGTGAATGATTTTAAATGCTTGCTCCTGTATTTACCAAGTTGAAGAACTTTAGCTAAATGGAAGGGCCTTCCTCTCCCTTCTCTACAACTCTCACTCCTGAGAATACAAGTAAAGTCCTCTGTTGGTGGTTGATTGGGTGCTGAGGAAGAGGGAGGCATCTAGGATCATACTGAGGTGACCTGAATGGATAGTGGTGCCATAATTTGAGATTGGGAGAGCAGTATGCGAAGTGGACTTGAGAGTCAGGCTGTCTGGGTTCAAATTCTGGTGCTGCCACTTACTAGCTATGTGACTTGTGCAAGTTACTCAATTTCTCTTTCCCTCCATTTCTTTATAGAACAAGGATAGTAATAGCACCCACGTCATAGAATTGACGTGAGGACTAAGTGATAAGAACTTAGAACTGTGCTGGAATTAGTGTTTACAAGTGTTTGTTTTCTTCTTCCGCTCCTCCTTCTCTTTCATCTTCATTAATATGATC